GTGGCCAAATGGGGGCTGGCCCACACAACAATGTTTCTATGTTTTTGTCGGATGTCTTCTGTTCTCCCCAGTTGTCCTAGTTCTCGCTATGCACTTTGCATATACTGCTCTTGTATTTTTCTGAGAGAATAGTGACCATAGTGAGTTTATAATGGACTTAAATGAATTGATAATTGACAATAATATTTTGAATATTTTGATTTCATTAGTGGAAGCAAAACCAGTTCTTTGGGACAAAACTGTTGACGATTATAAGGACAGGAATGTGACAAAACTTTGGAATAGTGGGTGAATCCAGTACTTTAGCTTAATCCTGCGCTGCTTAATTCAGCGCCACAGCAGCCAAATTACACCAACACACTTGGGATTCATTGTTTTACTATTTTAGACAACTAAAGTAACCACTGTAGAGATAGTTGCGTAACGCATTCACTCACTTGTCAACGGCTACCGAGCAACTGCTTGATTACCCGATGAAAAGTCTCATAAAGTCTCGTTAAAGTCTCGTTGTGTGGGCGAGGACCGCACCAACGATATAAATATCGGACAACAACGTGTCAGACGATCAATACGATAATCAATTTGTGGGCGAGAGGCCAAAGTGTACTTGGTGTATCTAATACACAACAAAGTGTGTCATTAACAAGGTATATAATATTGTTGTCAAAACATACATATCAAAACAGACATATTGAATAAAGTAGTTTAACCTAATAAAGGCTAATTCATACAGGCAATCATTAATTAACATGCTTATAGGTTTGGTATATTTGATGGGTGAGTTTTGTGGGCTCCACTTATCTTTGTCAGGTACAAACTCCACCACTCGTCATGTACAAACTCATACAATCGTCTGAATAGTATCTGACGTGTTGCGGAATCCAAAACATCCTTTGGAGTTAAGTGTTAGACCTGTGCAGGGCAAAATTAAGTAACTTTGAGAAGGCGGTTTATTTTCAGGTCCAGCTCAATGTTAGGCCTTTCTAGTCATGAAATAGTCTTTTTTACCTCCATCCTTACTCCAGATTTCATCAACAATGGCTGAATAGTTCCGCACGTCCGCCTGAAGAGCTAGCTTTATTGAGATTTTATATTGGCACACGATTGATTTGATATAGCATTATTGGCATATTGACCCATGATAGTAATTAGAATTTTAATGGGGAACCTAAATGTTACATAATTTATGTGAGATGTCAATTTGAGCTTTCATTAGAAAAAAGTAAATTTACTACTGAAGGTCATTGTGATCCGCCCCCGCATCTTTTTTTGTGCATTTGATGAGGCGGTTCTACACTACATCTATTGTTTGGATGTCTCTAACCTTAAATATAACAGCTGACTTTGCTGGGTGTCACAAGTGTCTAGGACGATTATGTGTTTGTGTGCAAGTCGTCGTCGTATACTTGTGAGTCAGGTAATAGATAAACATATGATAAAGGTAAAAGGAGTCCACTAAATTCACTCGCTTATCGTCTTAACTGTCAATAAAATGTAATGGGTTGTCACTTCTTCCTGAGACAGAATTGTTAGATCGCTCAGTAAATGATATTTTTCATTTTATATGTTACACTAAAAAATGGTCAAACATAAAAATACCAAACTGACGTTTCACATACTACTGTTTGTGTTCTGTTATTTAATATGCCTGTTTAATGTTAAAAAGTGTGTGAAGTAATACATTTTTGTCTTTACTCTATGCAATGTCAATACATATATTTAAGTAAGTTCGAGTTTGTATATAAGGTGGTGATTATGGTAAAAGATATGTTTACAGCAAATAATTATGTGAAAAGTTTATTATAACTCGCAATTAATTGGTTGTTTTCATTTTCCAAAATGTGTTTCTTATCCATCAAAAATATATAATATAAATCAAGTAATTCTCAAACCTTTTTCAAAATCCTTCACTTATTACCATGTATAGAATTTGTCCAACATGTTAAAAATATCTTTGGTGTTTTCTGATTCAAATAATTTAATTGCGGTATCCAAACCACCTCTGCCCTATTTCCTATGAGTAGTTGACCAAGTTTTGTATTTACCATCTTATATACAATACAGGGTTAGTCTAAATAATGTCTGTTAATTTTAACACGCATGTTACTGAAACATGACTGTTTAACATGTCTCAAAAAAGAAAAAACTCAACAAATTCTTTATGTCTGTCTATGTTTATTTCAATTTGTATTTGTGTGTGATAAGTACACAGGGTGATTTTTTTTAACTGTGCCACCATTGGGATCTTGTAAACGATACATCTTTCAGTATACTTTAATGGGGAACATTCCCTTGTTTTTAAAGAGGTTTAAAAATAAGTAAAAAAAATTTTTGTAAATGGCCGCCATTTTCCAATATGGCGGTCAACTTAGTTTTCCTTATGGAATACCCTGTATTTAAGGTGTTTTTGGGTGGTAAATGAAAATTTAAGACTTTTATTTTTCTTAGGAAATTTTGATATACTCAACCGTTTACGAGCTAGAGAGAGATAACGTTTTAATTTAGTCTCTCTTACCAGCTGTTATTATTAAATAGAAAAGCAATAAAACTAGACAACTTAAAAACCACAAGAAATTATAAATAAATGGCACGGTGAACGAAAACTATTCCCAGACTGCAAGTTACACAGGCTAGTGATTATTGTTTATTATTGCAACAATGCTAGCAAACAGCTGGCAATGGAAATGGTCAATAGATTAATAACAGCTGTTAAGAGAGACTAAATTAAATCTCTCTGTAGCTCGTAAAGAGTTGAGTATATCAAAATTTACTCAAGAATGAAAAAGTCTTAAATTTTCATTTACTATCCGAAAACACCATAAAATACAGGATATTCTATAAGAAAAAACCGCCATATTGGAAAATGGCGGCCATTTACAAAGAATTTGTTGAGTTTTCCCCTTATTCTATTGATTGTGTAAAAATAAGACGAAGATTTACTTTGGTTCACCTTTAAAAAATATTAACATGATTTCGACCAGCCCTGAATATTTTATGTTTTAAGTTCAATTTAGTATAACTGTAATCTCAAACTTTTATTAGACATTTTAATTTACAATCTGTGATACCAGTAACAGTTCTGTGTTTAGCACTTGAAGTTAAATTTTCATACATTCAGTAAAACACCACAACTTTTTATGCGACTGAAGTCTAAAATCAAACCAACAATCTTGGTCATGAATTTATATTAAAATGTAAATTTATTACTTCTAATAAATGTTTTTTTTTACAATTAATTAAGATATTATTCTAAAGGTATACTGTATATATATATATATTTTGATATATTTCATATACACCAATAAATTCTTTGAGATTTTAAAGTCTATTTCTATTAGCAAATGTATAAATTACACATTTTCTTCGAAATCAGATGAATTTGATTTTGTGACAAATTTATTGTTCATAATATGATTGATATTGAATAACTGAAAAAAATTATCATATGTTAACTTGCTTTGGGTTAGATATGCCGAGGAAAACCCCTTCAAGAAAGCGCAGACGAAACCGTGGGAAAAAAAAAGTCAGCCAACGAAGTAATGAAGGTAAAGCCTGCTTTTAAAAATTAAGTCAGCAGATGTCTATTTAAAATCCTTCAATCTAATTTAATTAAGTTTGACACTTTATTCATCCTCTTCTGTCTGTCCTTTTTATGCAATAAATTTTTATAAAATGTTAATAAATAAGTTCCTACTAGATTTAAGTTTATAGTTTAGGTTTCATCACTCATTGGCATACAACGTTTTATTCACGCAGAATAGCATTAGTACGAAAACCCATTCAAAATAGCAACAACAAACTTGCGAAGGCTTTTAAGAAAGTAAGGAATGTTTTAGTTTGTCGCTGCTAGGTGAACATTGGACGCACACTCTCAAATAAAATAAGTTCACCTCTTTAACTTGACTACTGTAATTCCTTTGACTATTTGGTTACTCTGTAATTGGCTGCCCAGCCTGGTGAAATAGGTTTCCCTTCATACTGATCTGTGTATAAATTATTTGTAAGTTCCTTCTGGGTGTGATAAACTGTCCATTTTTAACCTTTGGCTACTAATCTTTTCTTTCCAATGGCAAGGCGACATTTTAGCGACGCAAGCGATCCCTAGTTGGCTTTGTTGAAACTCCCATGTGACATACAACAACACCATGCCAGAGTGAACTTCATAAATGTGTAGAGAAATGTTCATAAATGTTCATAAATAGGTAGAAAGTGATTATATTATTATACCTCTAAGTCGCGAGAAAACTGTGTAATGTAAAACATTTACATTACATTATTTATGGGGTGAGTATAGCAGACTCTTAAACTATGCATGTAATAGGATATTATGTTACCAGCCTGGTAAGTGGTGTTTTACCGTGCTCGCACAACAGTTCACTCGGTTACGCCTCGCGCGGGATTTTTGTACAAGTAGGAGATTACCAGGCGAGTAATGTACGATACTTTACATCATAATACACAGAATAATTAGTTCATTTTAAATGCCTTACTCAATTTATTTAGGACATAACATAAATTATAATATTTTTATATTACAGAAAATAAAATAGGCCGTTGCAGTTAGCTGTTTATTTCATCAGCTGACTAAGTGCACGGTAAAATTACATAACGTTATTTTTCTGTGTTTAGGCACGGTAAAGGGTAAATTTCCAGCCTATCAATACGGATGGAAAAGTACTTGTTTCTGTGTAGTATGATGTAAAAAACATTTTTTAGAAAAATGCATCTGTAGTTACATTGCCTGTAGGTGTACTTTGTATTAATTTTTTACTTCGTTTCAGGAATGAAAATTACTGTTTTTCAGTAACACATCTGTAACATTTTCCCCTGGCCAAAAACAGGTTACTGCATCCTGTTGTCTAAGCAACGTTTCTGAGGATCCGTTTTTAGCGTAATTGGCATTCATGTTAGCCAAAGTTTGTTCTCGTCAGCCTGATTGAGTCCTGGTCATTCCACCCTTGACATTATCCAGGAGGTGATAGAAGTGGTGTGAAGAGCAGATGGTCATAGCCACTGGTTGTGGCTCATTGTCAACCTCGCCACGCTTCACAAGTAGAATGCTTTTAACTTCGCTAGGTGAAGTGATTGAGCATACATTCCACGTACCTCCCTACCTCCTCAGAATGATCAGAACAGATTGTGTCCTGCTGTATGACACCAGTCAAGGTCAGCAGCGAGCCTCTTAGCGTAAATAAAAACATAAAACTAAATTTTATGTTTTTAGTGTCCAAAAAGGGGAAAACCAATTATTATCCTATAAAACCCCCCATAAACCCCCGTTCCCAAAGTTCAATCATACTGTTTCGCGAACTCAAACAGACGGTGTTTTTGGCCTCTGGGGACCTCAAAACAAAAACGTAATCGGTAATCGGTCCTGGGTCCAAGTCTTGCTATGAGACCAATGGTAATAGCTTATTCCCTACTTGGCAAACTCGCTAAAAGGCAAAACAAACCATTCTTTTGCCTATTAAGTAGGCTTATTATTTAATGAAGTGTAGATTATCAATACAAATATGCAACAAAGAAGCACCTTGCGGGATTGCATTCATTAATACTTTAAAACCTAAGCCCGAGAATAGCTTGAATTAGTTTGTTGAATCTCACTTGCGAGTGCTAATGTGCTTATAGCGGTACTTGTCATGTTCGGCCGACGGTAGCATAGTAGCTCAGTTGAATATGGCGTTGCATTGATGAGTGTAGCGTTGAGGTCTTTCTATGTGCGCGGGTTCAAATCCCTATGTGCAATCCATATCAAGCTCAGTAATGAGTAGATTAGCTGGTAGGAAAGGCCCACCTTAAATCAACGGTTTGGGAGGAAGTTGACAGCATTATTGAGTTTAATAGGATTGCACACAAAACTTTTTTTACTTCTTTTTACATTGGTATAGAGGAGTAATACACCGATTTTTCATTTTTGCTTTTATTCTAATTAAATATGGTCATATCTTGTATAAATATATTATAAAAGACATAAAATGACATAACCAGAGCCGGTTTAACCCATATGCGAACTACGCGGTCGCATATGGCGCCACGAAAAAGTGGCGCCAACGGGACACATTTTTTTTTTCAGAAGACAAAATTGGAAACAAATTTACTGACAAGTGAGCAATTTTTCAAGCATCCAAAGAACCACACCAAAAGGCATTTATTCTGTTTTGTACCAACAGCAATAGAAAAATGCGTATACTTATACAACACTTCAACTCAAGGACTCGAGTATATCTAGTGCGGCCTTGACTCAAGGCATTGATTTGCACTATTTGTGATTTTGCACTCGGCAGCATACAGCTCGGCGCCTGTGGGTTTCATTTCATGACTCATGCTAGTCATGTTCGAGATAAGCGTGCAGCGCCACTTGTCACAACAAGAAACTTCCCCCTCCCTTCTTCCCCTGATCACTTTCCCCTGTTTTTCATTGTAATATGCTTTATAAAAACTTATATCGTATCCAAGTTATCCTGTAAAAATTGATTTCACATTTAGAAATAAATTGTTAACTTTGGGTTTTGCTAAAGTGTATATGATGAGTAACTTCTTGATCAGCATCGTACGTGTTATTAAATTTACGGAAAGTTATTTACTTTCCGTATATGATGAGTAAAAGTGTAACAATTTTGAATTTCTGTGAGTAATAAACAGTAGTTGAAATTAGTTATTTGTGTAACTAGTGGTGACAGTGGCACTTTGCTGCACACGAGAGCAATCGGAATGATCTTGAGTGCAGCAAAGGCCTTTTTCACTCGCGTTACACATTATATTTTTCCTACAGTCACTATAAAGCATATAAATAATTAGTCTTTCAAACACTATACAACACGTTTTTAGGTTCAGCTGGCAACACAAATGGTGCCCTAGAGAAAGTAGTACCCGCAGCTCGTATCACTCCGCTATTTTTCCTCGGCAAGAAATGTGCTCCGCGTTTTGAGAATATAGTTCCGTATGTTTTTGTAATTTGAAGTGGTTTCCGCGCCTAAAAAAATGCTTTAAAGGTATTTTCTTGTTTATTAAGATCGTAGGAATGTTTTAAAAACGTTTAAAAGAAAAGTCCAGAAAGTTCAGAAATACCGAAACCATAAACACGAAATCACACAGAGGTAAAAATTCACAAATATGGTTAAGTTATGTTCATGGGGGGTGTGGTGGGGGGGGATTCTAGGTGGCGCTGATTCGGGTGTTCACTTATCTCTGAAAAATTCCAAGAACCGGCCCTGAACATAACCTAAACAAATAACAGAGAAATGTAAAAAATAGGCTTATATGGCTTATATAGTGTTTAGTTATTTCAAATCCCACGCAACAAATTTAAAACAGTGCAACAATGATTAAGTAGGTTTTCGTCAGAACTAGTGGATTTTTTTAGAAGTGACAATTAACAGTCCTGCTCAGTGTTTTCCCAGCAAAGGTTTTTACCAAAATAACAGGGTAAAAATTTTAATTTACTTTTTTTAGTTGTAAGAAGTTATTATATAAAACACTAAAAGTTTTCAAAATTGCACAAAACTCTTAGGAATTGATAATGATTAATTCTTATCCAGAGGTTAAAATAGTAAAATTCAAAAGTTTAAAATAACAAGATTGCTATAAGAATTTTACATTTCACTTTGTTTCATTCCAAAATGGTTGGCACCATCTAGCAGATAAGCCAAATTATATCAGGTAAGAGGTCTTGACTCAGTGGCACTCAAAGGGTTATTTTAATCTTTATTTATTATTAATATCACACAGATGTTCAAGCTCAATTTTGATTCCCCACAGCTTTTTTTACTTTGTGAATCAGTTTTAGTATAAGATTGTTTTGCTTTAGTTCCTGTTCCGGGAAAAGTTGGAGGGAGCAGAAGAAGCTCAGCTTCTCGGAAAAAACCTTATGAGCTGGACACCTATGGACTGGTCCCACTACCCGCGAAAGTATGCTATTACTGTAAGAAGTAAGTTATTCCACACAACTAAATTGATTGTATACATAGATTTTTATTTACCCTAACGCATAAGCGATGCCAATGTGTGTAGAAGGAGTTACCACAAGTCACAAAAATAATTAAATCTAAGGCTTACCTTACGATCCAATTTACTTTATAGCGGAGACCTAAGTTTCTACGTCGAAACGTCGTCAGTCCTTTGTCTCATAGGTTAGCTAAACTTTTTGTTTGCCATCTCTTACTTGAGATATTGTGGGGGGTTTTTTTAAATGCGGGCATGTACTTACTGCTAATTTTATTGTAACGGAAATAATTGTGTATCTTCTTAATATATTATTGTTCATGCACAGTTAGAAATTCTCCATTTTTACACTTAAAAGAGACAAAACAATATGCATTACTTTAAAAATCTTATAGAAGACTTAACTGTTGCATGTTATAAAGCAATGTAATTACCATACAAATGCTTTTTCTTTGACTTTTTAAATGTCTAGCCATTACTGATGCTCATTACAAAAACATTTCTGTGTTTTAGTCATGTAACCAATAGGAGACACACATAAGTACTAAATGATCATTAAATAATTAGTGAAACGAAGACAAGAACTTAACATTGCGGCCCAGTGGTGAGTCGGCTACATGCTGGCTAAGAGCTCTTTCTCTCTCTCCCTTGGTCTGTCTCGTACATTAGGGATATATGATAACTATCAGTCTGCCCACGGCCGGGCTCCAATAACCATCTATCTAAAAGATTTTCGAATATTTGTAATCTACAAGGTTAGGGATGATAAAATTATTCGGTAACTTTTAAAACCGTCTTTGAAGGAGGATTAGAGTCATGAAGCTTGTTTTGACTTAATCAATTGAGGTCTTGTAAATTTATCCCGGCCATAACTGAATTTAAATATATTCTATTTACTTATTTATTTTGTAGATGAAAGAATGTCTACACTCATTGGACCAAACCACAGACCACATTTAATAAATGTAGCATTAGCTTTAAAAATAACCTGGTTTTTGTGACCAATTTGTTTTTTGCGATGAATACTGTTAATTCTCTAATATTGCTTATCGACTGAATGTTGATGTCACAAGAATTACTTCCGAACTTTGAAATCACAGTATAAAGCAATTAATTTACATCATGTGGACTTTGCCCCGATTATAAAAACTATACATCGTGAGAAAATACTATTCTTTTATAAAATTAAACGTTTGTTAATTGCATGAGTTTGATATTTCTAAATTCTTATACACCTGCAAAGTCGGATTCCTTTTTGAACTAACTTTGTGGGCTAGAACAGTGATGAAAATCTAGAAATAGAAATGCTTAAGTTTGAAATGTGATTAAATGTGTTGATTTTCAGAAGCTGTGCAAAGGGAATACTCCTAGCGTGTGACTATTGTCCGCTACTCTATCATTTAGACTGTCTCGACCCACCTCTAACTTTCGTGCCAACTGGAATTTGGATGTGTCCTAACCATCCCCAACATTTAATTGTGAGTTGGTTGCCATCAGATCTGTTGTCAGTTTATAATTGTAAAACAGAAACAGTTTACAGGGTTGGTACGGTCAGGGAAAGCCTGGAAAAGTCAGGGAATTTTGTTGGTCTAAGTCAGGGAATTAGGAAAAAAATCTGGAATTTCTCCTGAAAGACTACCCTTTTACAGATATGCTACATTTTGCTCTAAACATGTTTTTGTCAGGGTGATGACTAATGGCAAAAAGAAAGACATAAACAATGATGCTAATTTTTATATCGATAGTTATTTATCGTTACAGGGTGAAGAATCAATATGTTTATAGTTTGAAACAAGTTTTGTATTTGGGAGTGATTTGATGCTCGTTCACTCAGCACCAGTATTTGTATGCGATCTGGTGAATGGAGGAAGTCAGTGGGTGCGTTCAAAGCAAGCTGAGCGGTCATTCACCTGCCACCAAACCTAGGCTTGGATTTTAGTAAGCGAGCTATTCGATCACCCTCTGATCACTGGCTTTTAACGTACCCAGTACCGCAATGTGTGGAAGGATAGGCCTACATTCATCGTTTCGATTTCAAAACGACACTGAATACAATTCCTCATTGAATTTATACCAATACTGATTAAACCTTTGATAAATCTAAAAAAACTTACATCACTTGTAGGAGTATTTAAAAAATATTTATCCTGTGAATTGAAACAGTTAATAGTTTAGTTTGGTACTACTTTTTGTTTCCAGTACAAGCATGATAGTTATTTTTCAAACATCACTATAAACCAAATTATAAGTATCGATATCTATCAGTATCGGAAGCATCGCATCGTATGTCTGTCAGTGTCAAGGCCAAGTAGAACATAATAGAGGTTAGTTGGTACTCTTACTTTTCCAGACGTTTAATTCTTTTCTCATTGACTTTAAAAGTGAGACATGGAGTGATTTTACTTTAAATAACTTAAATAACTATTAAATCTCAAATAAGTTAAACATTTACATTTTTCTAATATTTCTTGATTTTGATTAGTCAATATCAACTTACGTATACCTGGAAAATGTATAATATCAGTCTGGAAAACCTGGAAAAGTCAGGAAATTTTATTTTCCAAATTTAGTACTAACCCTGGTTTAGTATTTCTTGCTATAGTATGTCTTTTAAGATATACGGTAAAACCTCACTAACTTGACACCCGGTAGCTCGACAGTCAACAGCTGACAAGGTGCACGCAGAAAAAAGCAATTCCTCAGAACATTTAGTTAGTTGTTAAATATTCAACTCTTCTTTGAAGATTGTTTTTTCAGTATCTACAAATACTAACACAAGTTATAAATAGGCCTATATGTAAAAATTAGTCAGTTATGAGGCTCTTTCAAAGTACCTGGTTTGTATGTGAATATAACGTTTTGAATTAGAGGTGGGTATTTGAGTGTTGAATAATTACTTGTTTTTTTTTTAGTTTTTGGAATTACTTGACTTTTGACAAATACTCAGGTTAAAGTCGAGTAGTTCAAACAACTCAAAAAACAAGCCAAGCAACTTGGTTGTGATAATTAATATATTTCCTCAGGGTATACAAATATATTTCTCTTGATGCAATATTTCAAAACTGATTGTAAAATGGATTCAATATATTTTTAAATCAATTTATAGTAAAATGATGCAACATTTCTTTTACCGGTAGAATACCAAATTCAACATTGTCAAATACTTATTTATAGTTTTCAAACCAGGAAAATATTTAAGGGTCAACATCCATTTTGAATTCAACAAAATGTAAAATTTTTTAATCTACATTGAATGTTATAGGACGAAGTACTTTGGAATGGGACAGGATTTTCAGAAAGAGTCGCACTGTGGGAGAAATATGGAAACAATCAAGTTGACGAACATAAAGTGAAGATTGACTTTTTGAGGAAAGTCCACTCACGAAAATATCATCCGTTCCGTGTCAAAACCAACAACACCTTGTCCATTCAGGTACATAAAACTTTGATAGCCTAACTTTCAAAATATTTAATAATTTTTTTAGCTTGTTTTTAATGAATTTTACTGTGTTGATCTGCTGCGTTCGGCAACTCCTTACCAGTAATTGCTAGTTTGATTCCGACCACCTGTCTTATCTAATCACTGTAGTCCACTTTGGCTCGACCAAGTTGACTAAACTGTATTTATAGTTTACTATGTTTAGATTATTGTACGGACCAGTAGGTCAATGGGGCATCTAGATGAAAATTACATAAACCTGTGTTCAAGGTTTTTCATATCTTGACCTTTTTACGTTCTCCCCCTATACATAGTAAAACCTCTTTATATATATATTATATTATATATTCTAATAAAATCTCCATTTTTATAAAAAACATATGGAGAAAGTATTGTTTTTGTCAAAATTTTCGAGTTTGAGTTTTAAGTGGATATATCCGTTTTGGGTACCCCTGAACCCAAAAAAGTGGTTTTCGAGGTGAGTGTGTGTGTGTGGATGTGTACAGAGCTACAGACCACACCTGTAGTCCGGTTTTGATGAAATTTGGAATGTAGCTACTAATCTATGGTATCTCCCAAGTGTGTTTTAAATTTTTTCAAAATTTTGATTTGTAATGGTGATTTTCCCCCCAAAAAAACCATAAAAAACGTAAAAATCAGATTTTCTCAAAAATGCCTCGAACAATTTTGATAAAAATGTAGTAGGCCTATGTTATAGTCCTTTAGACTCTGAACAAAATGGTACAAATCCCATTTACGTAAAAATTACGGTTAAAAAGTTATTGTTATTTTCTCATTAAAAAATCCCATAAAATAACAAAAAATCGGATTTTGGAAAAAAAGCTGGTTTTGATTAAAATTAATGTGTTATGGTCCTTATAATTTTAAACAAAATAATGCAACCCCCTATTGCTGTGAAAATTAGAGTTCAAAAGTTATTGCAACTTTTGTGATTTTTCCCTACAAAATTATCATAGTTACTCCCACCCCATGATAATGGTTGTTGACAAGCTTATGGGAGAAAGTATGTGTCAGATTGCTGATACCGTTTGTTTTATATACTTGCTGTGTTTTTGTGTTTGCTGTTGTGTTGTTATGTGTACTTGCTGTTTGTGTACTTGTGTTGTTTTATATATTTGTTGTATAATAACCTCATCTTCTACGCCTGATTTTTTTAGCCTATATTTTTATTAAAAAATATTAAGTAATCATAAAAAAAAAACATTTTTCTTTGGTTTTAGGTTCCAGAATATGTAAAGGAGGCTTACAAAAATCCAATGCCGAAAGAGTTTTCACCTAGAGATCTATTAAGAGCCTCCATAATTTATCAAAGAGAAGTCGAAAACATGAAAATTGAAAAAAAGAAAAAGGAGCATCTTGCCACCCCTGAAGAGCAGGAGTTGGTAAGAACCTCTGACCATGAATTATTGTTTGAATCCTTGCAGGTTGCTTTCCGTCCGTCGTAAATGACTCAATATCACATGGGTTATCGAAAATTATTGATGTCTCCATCGAGCTCCTGTCGCAGCCATTGAGCTAGTTCAAATATGAGAGACCAAGTTAGCTTTCCTTACTTCATTCACTACTGTTATAGCCAGTTCCCGCACTTGTGGGACGATTAGTCTGGTCATAGTACTAAACAAATGTGAAAGAAAATTGATGTTCCTGCCAAAATCAATTCTCGTTCTGTGATTACTTTTCCGTGGTCTGAGTCGTGAACCACTACTGTAGTCCATCACCTATTGTAGTCGTTCACGTACATGAATGCCTACTGTGTTCCTTGCTTTACCTACTACTATTCTAGCTGGTTCCCAGCAATATATAGGACAATAACCCCTTTCATAGTAGCCTATTTAAAAAAAAAACTGAAAGAAAATTAACGTGCCCGCCAAGTACAGGGTGATAACCGGCATTCATGCCTACTGTGTTCCTTGCTTTACCTACTACTATTCTAGCTGGTTCCCAGCAATATATAGGACAATAACCGCTTTCATAGTACGGTAGCCTATTTAAAAAAAAAAACTGAAAGAAAATGAACGTGCCCGCCAAGTACAGGGTGATAACCGGCAGAAACAGGACGTTTTTATTTTTAAATAAGCATTACTAAATTTTGTTGTTGTCAATTATAACTTTTATTACATTATAATGTTCGTAAACTCAACCATTTAAGAAAGAACACTATTTACCAATCATAGTTGGCTATGGCTACACTTGTCAAATGCCCACTTTCATTCATGCAGATTTCTATAATTTTCTTAAATTCTTTTGTTACATGTCTCAGAATTTCACGACCACCAAAGTCGTCACTTCCTGGTTGATTGCGTCCTTAAGATCCATTACAGTTCGGGGTTTATAAGCAGACTCAAAATTTAAGAACACCCCAATGAAAAAATTCACAAACGCTCAAATCTGGTGACCTTATAGCCACAAAATATCATGAAAAAGTGAAATAACCCTTCCTCTAAACATAATATACACCACGGTCATTGAATCCTGCACAGTGATTTATTTAGTTGGAAATAAACATATGTATCGTTCATCAAACGTTGCTACGTCACTTACATAAAAAAAGTGCTAGAGCATATCAACACTTAGAAAATTTGTTTTAACCAAAGCTTGACAAACGGTTTCAATATTTACAGCGTCCTAACAGTATTTGTCGGCCAAGCCTTCTTTTTTCTTTAGAATCGTATTTTGGATGGAAATGATTACCTAGCGTCTAAGATGAGAGGGAACTAACAAAAATTTGCTACACTACTGTGATAGGTTCGCCATTTAGTACTCATCAAAGGCAAACGTACGGTTTTACCGTCTAATGCTCAATTGCTTTTAAAATGGCATAACATACAGCAAAGAATGACAAAAGAATGAAAAGCAAAGTTATTGACCTCCCTCCTCATGAGTCATGACAATAACTGTCATGCGTTTACTATCTGTTTGAAAAACGTTTTTGTTCTTGTCGGTCATCCTGTATAATTCTTGTTGTGTGATTATAATTCGATGATCTCAGTACATTGCCAGTTTACGAATAAGAGTAAAATGTTTGGAAAATGTGTGCAAAGGGTGACGGGAGGTTGAAGGTGGTCTTAAGCATTTGCACGATGTTTTACATGGTGTAGACTGACTGATGTTGTTTATTAGTATCATTTGCCCAAAGTTAGAGGATTTCTGCTTGAGGATCGTTGTGTGATTGAACAAGGGAGGTTATCAAGTTCAATCGTTGTAACGATATGAAAAGAGATGAATACATACATGCTGCCTGCCTTGTTTTGCGAATATGTAAGGGCTTCTACACTCCCCAAGCCATTAAAGCACATAATCTCTGATACACATCTGTCTACTGGCAACAGAACACCAGGGATTGACACCTTCCCTACTGAACAAGATTCATACTAGGCGGGTGTGTCAATTTTCTCACAACGTTTTTTACTATAACGAGACTAATCGTTCCGTAAAGGTGAGAACCAGAATAGTAGTGAATTAAGTAAGGAACACGTTTGTTTTGGTTTTCAACTAGCTAGCTTGATTGTGACGGAAGCTCGATAAAGACCTTAATTTACAAACAACCATCTAATATATAGAGCGTTATCTCTTGTCACGATGTTCTGTACAACATATTTTTGTTCCAGTTGGCTTCAAAGTGTTGAGCAGACACAAATTATTTGTATAAACTCGCCACAATGTATGTTTATTGTTTATTTGCATTTACACATAATTTCATTGTTATTTCTTGTATACAATACTTAAATACTTTCTTATTAAATGGCGACCATACAAAGTAGGTATTTTAAGCCAAGTATGAATGGAGATAATTGTAGGATGAGTGGCGCGATCTTGTAGTCTTGTTAGTGACTAAGGCCGACATTCCTTAGAAACAGCTGTTAATAGCCCATACAGCTAATGGCAACCTAAGGGACCTACAGTTTATTGTGGAATCCGAACCACATTTTTGCCTTGGTATATACGAATTGGTTTAATTATCAGGATAGTACTGCGGATAGTTGTAGTACTCACTCGTGTGGACGTTAATCCACACCAGGGAGTATCACATCCACAGTACATGCCTATAAATATCCACAATTCGCGACCTCCTAGTAGCTGGATTACAGGACGACGCCACCCGTTCCAGTCATATAATACATATAATGCACATCATTTCATTGTTGTTATTTCTTATATACGATACATGTAATGTCGCTATTTCTGAATAAAATTTATTAGATTTGTTTCAAACCTTAGAGACACTGAACAGCCGATAGTGTTATAAAAATAAAACTTCCATGAAATTCATCTGTTTTGCATTTAATTTTTCTTATAAATTATTTTATTATCAATTAACTATGTAGTTGCTTTGTATTAGGTTTGTTTTTTGCGCTCAATGAGTAGGAACTAGGCAGGACAGCTAACTAATGTCAACTTCTGCTTCTGGGCTTTCCTACTTTAGGAGAAAACTATTTAAAAACTAAACTACTGTAGTGTAATAGGCTTGATCTTCCATAGAACGGAACAAATGAGGATCGAACAATTTTCTTTCCAAGCACTTTCAAGCTATCTTTTCACATGGTATAATTTTACTTTTAATATTATAAATAAAATGTCTCTATTTGCAAGATATGCTATTGCAACTATAACATCACCATAATAATTAAAAGTACAATTTTACAGGCAATAAATATGGCTATACAAATGAACTTGGATGCCCTTGTCAACCTACGGAAAAATGAAAAAAGTAAAAAAGCTACATCAACAAGTAGCAAAGAGACTCTAGAATCCAGAAATGGTCTGGAAGAACCATGCGAGAAAATGATCAATGGAAATGACAAAACTTACCAGGAGGATGCTGCTACAACTGATCAAAAAACTTCTCTTAGACAAATAAAAGATCCGGTACTCCTTCTAGACGAACTCACCGCCTTTGTTAACAATGAACTCAAGACTTATGGTGATCATAATGGCGAGATAGATACAAGCTCAGAGATAGATGAGTACAGGTTGGACCAAATAAACTACGAAAAACTGTGAGTAACATATTAAGCATCTTTCCAATGTCAAATAGGTATATGTCAATGCGAGTAAATCTCAATCATCCGATTATTTGTTTGTTGCTTCAGAAATATTAATTATTTGTTAAAACTTTTTAAACTTTAAAATAAAGATTGAGAGGAAAAAAAAAAACAAACAACAACAACAAAAAAACATTATCTCTATCGATTGTTCTATGTTTGTTTTCTGTTACTTTAATTTGCATTTGATTTATTAAATTGTTATTTTCAGCAACTCCATCAAAGTTGAGAAAGCAAAGTGTAAAGCTGATAAAAAGGATGAAAATGAAACCACAAAAAGTAATGGTAAGTTACAGAGTTTTTTTTTATCTCTTCACATTTAAAACTACACAAATTTCAAATCTGCAAGTGTCAGTACCATCTTTTCATAGTCGTTACTGCCACAGCATCACAAATTCTTGACAATATACCAATAAAATAATATTATCGTTATATAAAATAACATGATATAAAAATAATATTAATTTTGTTTATTGCCTTCCAGATCTTTTATAATTTTTATCTACAAGAGGCTAAATTAATTATGTTACTGTCCAAGCAATCCTGAAATAGTTTGCTAGTGACCGGTTTCGACATCTAACTTATGGTGTCATTTTCAAGTGGAAAGACAAACATTATTCACTCGTAGGAGGTTGTCATAATTATTATAAAACACACACTGTTATAAAATGATATGTTGTATCTACCAGTTGTGTAACTTAAAATTATGCATAGGAATCGTACCTTTGGTAAAATGAACACGGCTTCAATTTCAAATTTTAAAGTAAGTTCCTTTAACACAATTGGTGTTGTGAAACGAATCGTTAATCTCTTGATTATATTCTTTCAGCTCAAGAAAGAAGTACCCCCGAAGAATCTGCTAGTATTAAAAATGTTAAAGAGCCAAAAGAGAAACAAGATAACAAAGAAAATCTAGAGTCAAGAGATGATCTAGACAAGCTTGGTATGCTTACAATTTCTCTACTTGTGTTGTTTATGATTTGTGTTCGCTACTAATTATTTGTGACTGAAATTGATATTAAATCAAGTCCATACAAATAATGCCGATAATTTTTTGGGATTTTCTAGCTATAATTGGAAGACAAAAATAATGATATAGCCTAAGTGGTATATAATGGAATAACAAATATAATGGAATAACAAAAAGATGAAAGGGGGAGATGCAGTTTTTAACGTTTAACCTCCACTTTCATTATACAAGTTGTCCTGCTAAATGCAGACCCAGATTGCACATTTTTGCATCCAAACTATTCAAACGAATCACGAAAAAGTTTGCAAGACGCCCAGTATGTATCAAAATAATTAAATAACTTCTGCTTAAAATTACAGTATCAAAATAAAAGTAAAAATCTCAACTTTTGATAGGAGAGGTTATGAAATTGATTTTCATCAACAGCAGCAGTTTGTTAATGCAGTTCTTGCTTTACATAGTTTTTTTTTTTTGTTTTTGGGACTAATTTACCATAGTGAGAAAGCTTGTACAAATGTAAACATCAGAAAGTAGGTCCTGTTTGAAATAATTTGGCCTAATGTTTTTCTCACCCAAATATGAAATAAATTAAAACCCATTATGAGAAATAAACCTAAAAAAGTGAAAGTACAAAGTGAATACAGTGGACAGGTTACACATAATCATAACCATAATCCATTGATCCACACATGAAAACAGGGGTTTTATTTTTTCTTTTTTAATTTTCATTAAAATATTAGCTCTTTGTTTCTTTCCCTCTTGAAATTTAACTCATTTCAAGAGTTGTGATATTCATAAACTAGCTGCTTAGGAAAGACTTGTTTTCAAGAGAATAGAAAATAAGAATAGGCAACTAAACAAACACATTCCAGGACACTCATTATGGCCTCATTTTATAATGCCAAGAGTTTGGCTGACACAAATTAATAGTCAATAAATATTTAAAGGAGGTAAACGCTTGTGGAATTGGTAATTAAAAACTGTACCATCCTCCCTATATTTTATTCTGTATTTGCAGCTGTAGAAGACTACGAGGAGATCATAGAATCCTTGGACATTAAGGTCTTAAAGTATCTAGCTGCAAAACAGCTTAGACAGCAGCTCAACGATAGTAAAGAAGATTCCTCCAAGATCTCAGTCGACGATTCCTCCAAGATGTCAGTCGACGATTCCTCAAAGATCTCCGAGAAGAAAGGAGATAATTCCTCAAAGATCTCCATCGATGATTCATCAAAGATCTCCGTAATCACAAATGGTACCGCTGAGATGGAAATTGAAGAAGGGCCAAAGACAAATGAAAAGCCTGTTGAGTCGACATCAAACATCCCTGGCCATAACAAAGCTGCTGAGGTGAACCTGTCCCAGGAGACTCTTAGGCCACGACTCCCGCTAGACATTCTCCTGACGGATCGTCCAAGGAATATCAACTTAGAAGTAAGTTCACCAACTTGAAACTTGATGGAATAGTAACACCAATAATTAGAGTTTAAAAAATAGTGTGATCACAATTAGCTACCATAGCTGTATAAAAAAATACATGTAGGCCTACATCATTGAAATGTATCCATAAAAATCTGTTTATTTTTCTTCAACATCTTGATATGATTTTGCCGCCCATAAATATATTCGTAGAAATATAGAAACCCAAAATTATGTATTTTGCAAAAATTCATTTGCCTAAAGCACTGAAGGTTTATAGTTAGCACGATAACACGGGTGAAAAAGGTCAATTTTTATAAAATTGTGTACATAAGTGTAAACCTATGTATATTAACACGTTCCCTGCGGCCCACCAATGGCAGGCGTAGCCTCGGTGTGGTAGAGAGTTGAGCAAACCCTTTTAGCTTGAAAATATTTCAGTCTGACGAATAGCAAATGTCGTGCAGTGATGTGCTGTGTTATGACGAAAGTCATCGTAGTTTGCTGAAACATTCAATAGCAGCACTGTCTGGAACTATTCGGTCCCTTTGTATTGCCAATTGAAGGGAGAAAGACGGAACAACAAGTTGATTTCTAAGCTTGTCAGAAGGGGATTTTACAGGGAAATATACTACCAGCCTACACCACAATAAAGCAGCACCCATTCCTAGCTAAACGCAGACATATAAATGTCCATTATTTCCGATGTACTGCTGCGGAGAAATTAAATGGAATCGATGCCGGCACTCACAGGTGAGAGTTCAGAGTGGCAGAAAGGAACTAGAGCACTCACTGGTGAGTGGCCCTCAACGTGTTAAACGGATTCCCAAACCAGCTTGATCAAACTATGAGAATTGGAGTATATTAGGCGAAAAAGGGGTTTATTTGCATTTATGATTGTTTAACCATTTCCCAGCTTGTAATAAATTGTGTTTTTGTATTTCTAGGCACGTATTAGATCCAGAACGCAGGGTGTGCTTCTTACTCTCCCTCACCTCAACTTTAAAGTAGAGGTGCCTTCAAATGGAAATCATGTGGTGATAGGAAAAGGTACTGATCATAGAGAATTTTTCAACAAAAACTTACCAACAACCTAGTTTTTAGTGAGTGAATAGGTAATATTTTCAAGTCCCCAAAGGCTAACATATCGCTCATCAAGAGTTGTATGACAGCCAACATATCGGCCCTCAAGGGTTATGTAACAAAAACTACATGATTCTATTTGGGCTCGAGTAACTCAATGAAAATAGCCAAAAACTGGGCCAGGTATGTGCTTCAACCTGGGAGAAAAGTTTTGTTTTCAGTTTATCACGATTATCAGTGTGGTAGACAAAATAGTCTGATCAGTAGCCAGATGGTCAAGAGAGCTATCTTCCGAGCTAGGAAACATCACTAAAGTCAAAAGTTTTAATGGGACACAAGTTCTAGAATGCAAGTTTGAGATCTCGCCTGTGTTTCAGAGCCCATGCATAATAAACAGCGAATACATAGTTAAAGTACTGTAGTAGTAGTATTGGCTAAAACTAATATTAGATAAAGAAGTTTAAACGAGGGTTGTCTGTAAATTAAGCTCTTCATCCAGCTCTCGCCATAGTCAATTATACAATAAAAGGTTAAATTACCTGTGTCCGCCAGTCGATCCTTATGTGCTGTGTCCTATTACAGGAGATGCATTTCGGCAGAATAAATTGCCATCATCAGTCCTAATATAAGATCTTGATCTTCCCCATTGGGTGCGTCTTGAAGTTTTGAAACATGTACACGAACTTTACACTTTTATACATTACGAATAAAACAACAAACAAATACACAGTAGGCCTACTTTTATTTTAGTTAATACGGACATGTAGATGCGCGTCGGTCGTGTGTCGAGTCGATAGGTAGGCCTACCGTGTATTTGTTTGTTTTATTCGTAATGTATATAAGTCTAAAGTTGGTGTACGTGTTTCAAAACTTCAAGACGCACCCAATGGGGAAGATCAAGATCTTATATTAGGACTGATGATGGCAATTTATTCTGCCAAAATGCATCTCCTGTAATAGGACACAGCACATAAGGATCGACTGGCGGACACAGGTAATTTAACCTTTTATTGTTTGTCATACCGATCCGGAACAACAACAAACAACATAAAATGAAATAGTCAATTAGGTTAGCTCAAATCTGAAATCAATGCTGTGTTCCTCCCTTCATCTACTACTACTACTCCAGCCCGTTCCCACCCCCATGGCAAGATTAGTCTTGTCTTTGTATCCAAAAACGTTGTAAATGATACAAGATACAAGAACTTTATTGTTAGTCAAATACATAATGTGGTAAATTAGTATCTCCTAACTCACCAATTAATCCTAAATCTAAACTTAAACAATAAAATCAACACCACCAAATATGGAATAGTTCAGTGATTACAGTTGTCTGTTAAAAGAGGGTAAATTCCTCTTGATTACTGTTACCAGTTGACAGAAGTGTCTAAAATAAGCTTTGAAGAAAATCCATTAGTGTCTTAGTGAGTTTGCAAAAGGCCGAAAACATTTGCTTAACGGGGGTATTAGCAGCAAGTGTTCATCAGTTCGCATTAAGACAGATGGAATCTGAGGAAACGTTCTTACTGATTGGTGTGTTTCAGACTTCCAAGGCTGTCTGTAGCCCCTATTAGTTCACCAATCTTTCTCGCTCAATCATACAAAAACCCTTGTATATCTGATTTTAGAATAGTTTAAATAGAAAGATTTAAAATATAACATTTTAGTTTTTTAACCTTTACTGCTGTGCAAATAATTTCATTCTATTTCAGATTATCGTCTCGCTAACCCCCTCTTTCTGTCTCTTGCTGGATCGAGTTGTACGCGTATATCTAATGCGCATGCTTCAGTATTTTTCTGTAAGGTAAGTTATGACTAATAGTTGAAGATGACTTTCAGTTTGAAAATTGTTTATTGAAATTTAAAATATCTTAGTAACAAATCTATCGAAACATAGTGTAATTTAATTATTTTCCCAAATAAATATAAACTCGGAGACTGAAGTTTTACCATTATTAAGAATAGCATTTTTTATGGTTTTGCTTTCTTTTATGCTCGTCTGGTGGTATTGAAATGCAAAAACATATAATTAAATTATTTTTTTATTATATTAGAAGTGAAACTTATTCTTACAATGCCTTTTAAACACAGAGTGTAATTTTTTTCAGAACACAAGGAAATACTGGCTTAAAAACTACAGCCATTTTGGCACTGTGGTCGATCACATCATGTGTGGCTTAAACATGAAACCAAACAGAAAGTCGGAAGAACCTAGCGAATTGAGGAAGGAAGTTGAGGCCATCAAGAGTATTAGAAATAAACGGAAGGCTTTAGCGACGCAGATAAAGCCGGTGAACATCCACGTACCAGAAGATGTTGCTGTACCCTCAACATCTACTGCCAACCCTACGACAGTTGTAAGTAGACAATATATTTATTTTAAAAACAAAGTATTGAAAATTCCGATAGACTTCTTCTAATCTGTAGACTCGGTTGTCAAGGAAATCATATCCTGTCACAGAGTACTCTGGCAAAAGGTTTTCTAAACTTGGCCAACTTGGATTTTATTTTAGACAGTGGCAGTACAGTTTTTGGTGTTTAAATCATTCCTGGACAGGTGGGTTACTTGGCCTAGACCAGTAAGAAATTTGGTAAATGGACTTACTAATAACATTCTGGTATTCTATATCTGTCCAGGAGAGCTGTGATAAATCTAGTTGTCTGTATCGTCTACAAGAGACTTGTTACTGAGGCACTGCAGTATTTAAAAGAAAAACTGAAAGCGAGGTCAGCCGTGAGAGGGTGGAGAACTAGACAGGACTTTTTGCTTGACATACCAAGGGTTGTTCTTGAGGCTGGTAGAAGGGGGTTTTCTTACTACGGGCCGGCTCAGTACAATGTACACTTCCTTGTACACTAAAAGCACTGTCTTACAAAAAATTTAAAACTCACCTAAAGAATTCGTAATTAAATCTTATTTGTTTGGTAGTGTTAAGAATTTTTGTTTGGCTAAGTCCTGACTTGAGTCAATTTGTAAAACAGTACTGACACTGAAATTCGCTCATGAATAAAGACGTTATTTATTTTTATTTATTTATTTTGTTTTCTACTTTTTGAACAGATACAAGCTAATGTTATAATAGACGGGTTGTTTTAATGGGTGCAAGGCCCGCTGTATACTTTTCCAAAGAAACAAACCTGTTCAACTGGGACTTGTTAATTTTGACTCGTGATATGTTAATTCAAAGAGGAGTAAGGAACAGAGGATACACTCCATGGTACACTGCAGTGGTGTCTAGCACTAGTGCTGGTAACAACACCCCCTCACCCTCGTGTACTACAACGCTCACTATGTAGGAAGACACTCTGTGTCCTGTGCGATAGGAATTTCCACACAGTACTAGCCATTCGGGCTCTTCCTTGCTCGTCACAAGTATATTTCCGCACAACATACAGGAAGAAAGCACACGGTTGTCCCATAAGCGTATCCTTATGTTTAAATATCACACTATTCCCATGTCTACTGGTCTCATATTTTCCCAGAGCTATCAACATCTATGTAACTGATTCCTTGTAATAGTTTATCTTTATTTCACAGCCTCGACAGTGTAAATGCTTCATATACCAGCCACAGGCAGGTTACGAAGGTATGATCGCCTTGACACATGGATGCTGCATAAAAATAGGATGCGTGGAACTCACATTTATGTACCTGAACCAAGTAGACCAAGTTCCTTCAAATGGTGGGCCGCCCGCTAAAAAGAGAAAGCTTGAATAAAGTCTTCATATTGTTTAGAAAAGACTAGCACACAATTGTGCCTTACAAAGTTCATTTTGCCTATTTGGAGGACAGTTTTTTACCTTAGAACTTTGATGTGTTGTAATTTTTATTGCCTCTATGAGGAGTATTTGTAAACATTGTTTTATTAGTGGAGGATTGTGTATAGATGATTTCCAAGAGACAATTTTTTACCTCAACTGTATTTTATTAGATATCTCAAAACACTGTACGTGTACACTTTCTGTATGTTTACAGAACTCGTGTTTTTTAAATCCTCCATTAGTTTTATGTGTTAAGTTTTTACCTGCTAACCCATTTGCGTCTTATGTACATAAACACTAAACAGTTGTTTTTAATGGAAGATATTTTGACTTGAGTCAGTCTAAACTTTATTTTAATTTTGTTGTTCGAAGTATAAATGAATGAAATCTTCATTCCAGCAAGGCAAATGACAAAATTGCACAAAACACACTTATTCAAAAGTATACCTCTGCAAAAGTATTAGACGTTGTAAAACTGTTTTAAATAAACGGATAAGAGATTAAATACTCACCACGCTGATGGTTAAAGTAAAGAAAAGCTTTTTAATTGGACCCAAATCTAACACTTGCATAACAAAATACAAAGATTAATGTCAAGAACAACAGTTCCCCAAAATCGAGGGATTTGAATTGGTTGTATAAGTTAGTGCCAACTTAACTACTGTATTAAAAAAAATAATTTCACTCGGGAACAATAATGTTCAATTATTTATTTAGATGTTTCAAATTTCACAGAAGTAAATGGGTTAGCACAGTTTCATGTTACTTAGGTTTTTATGTTGTATCATATTTTTTTACTTAGTGGTTCCCAACCCTTTCTTCACATTACTTGATTTTTTAGTTTGTTTTACATATCACATTTAAATTTTTGTAAATTTAAAGGGAAACAGTTCAAATAGAAAAATTTAGTTTTAAGGGTAAATTTTGCAATATTGAAAAAGTACAAAAATTAATAAAAACTTGTAAAATGTTAGCAATAAACCACACTGCCGCTATAATGTAAAAAACAATCCATCTAGTTCTGAAGAAAAACTAAATTTCTAAGAAGTGAGGTTGTAGTTAGCAATCAAACGTTTGCACAAGTTGGGAACCGCTGGAGAAACAAATTAATTTGGAGTTTACACTACCTTTTAGTTTAAACAGTTTCTTACCTATTTTACCAGTTTTCCTTGCAATTTGTTTTTGTGCAAAGGTGAATTAAAGATCAATGAACATATGTTTGTTTTGTTCTCAAGTGCAGTGTAAAAGCTAATGTTTGACTATGAACTGTCAACTTAAGCAGCTTTATAAAAATTGTCTCTATTGCTGTACAAATTATATTTATTTAATGTTACTGTTAAGTTTTGTGATATTTTTATAAATATTAGAAATTTGTCAGTCCGGTTTTTGAATAGTCCTACGTCTTGGACTGTTAATGCTAGATATTACGCATTATGCTTCCTTTATAAGATACAATATCAGGACTCTTGACTTACTATTGCTCGCCTCAAACTTATAATGTCAATCAAACCTACTCAGTATTCAATGATTCAAGTTTTGCAGTAATTCTCACCTACCATAAGTCCCCTAGGTATCGAGAATTACATTTTTTTACCTAACTTTTCTTATACAATTTAAGTTTCAGTTAAATTTTAATTTATTACTTTCTGTTTGGCATTGATCATTGTTCTATCTGTTCTGTTTTTATCGTTTGATTCCTCATACTGTTTTAAGCGATTTCCACAATCATCCTGAAAATCACTCAAAAGGATCAATTTACAAATTGCAACATTGTTTCCAATGTTATTACTCTATGCCCCCATTAATTAACGAAAGATCTTCCCATTTTTATTATAATGTGTTGTAAACTAGGGTATATTGAGAATCTATAATCTTATTTATTATAATTGGTATTTCGTGTCTATACACGAAAACAAGCATAGGCTGTGATGTATCAATTAAGTAATTTAAATGTAAATTAAGAGCGTACATACAACAGTCAAGTGAATGCTTGATTGAGGGTATATAGATTTTGTCTAGACCAAATATTAACTACCCAGCCGTTTTGATAACATCAAAATTATTTTTTCAATTCACAATCTGCATGAAATGCAACATAATGCAACATATAGAAGAAGTAAAAACAATCAAATTCCTAGAACTTATTATTTAATAGACCAAAAATTAAATTTCAACTCACATATTGAGCATTTATGTAAAAAAACTTTCCTAAATTATTTTTATACTAAGAAGATTGTCTATGTTCTGTAGTGAAGACGCATTACTCACTGTATATCATTCGCTAATTATTTCCAATATTAGATATGCAATACCTATATGGGGCTCAACTTCATCAAAAACTAAACAAATATTTAAATTACTAAAGTCTGCATTAAGAATTATTTTCAAATTAAAAATTAAAAAACCACGCCAATCCTGTAAAAAAATATTTAAAAATTACCAATTTATGACCTTTTACTCAATTTATATTTATGAAACATTACTATTTTTAAAGAACAACTTTGAGAAATTCTGGAAAAATGATGAATTTTGTGAGAAGAATTTTATGAAAAACATCTTTACTACAATGGAAGAAAATTATTTAACAAACTATCAACTAATATTGGAAACTTAAAATTAAAAGAATAAAAAAAACTAAAAGAAATCCTTACTGAAAATCCAATCTACTCTATTGAAGACTTCAATGAAAAATGCATCCAAATTTAAAGAGTTTGATTTAATATTAAATCTAATTGTACTGTCGATACAATTTATATTGTCAAGACAATCAAGTAATTATTTACTTTATTTTATTTATGCTAATATCAAAAGGAATTATTCTGCAACAGCCAAAAATGTGTGCCCTCTACTTCAATATGCTATGCAGTAAAATTATTTGAAAATAATATTACCACTTTATAAGCACTTTTTTAAGATATTGCAGTGAATTTCGACAGCCTTTGAAAATAATTGTTTGTTCCAAAAAACATTTTACGGCTAAATGAGTTTTTAACTCTTAAACATTGTTGAGTCCAGTTGGACTGATAAAAAGCTCATCTATTGTGGCGTGGAGGTAAATAGTCTTTAACTTAACTCTTAAACGTTGTTGAGTCCAGTTAGACTGTTAAAAAACTTATCTATCGTGACTTGGAGGTAAATAGTCTTGAACGTTGTTGAGTCCAGTTAGACTGTTAAAAAACGTATCTATCGTGGCTTTGAAGTAAATAGTCTTGAACTTAACTCTTGAACGTTGTTGAGTCCAGTTAGACTGTTAAAAAACGTATCTATTGTGGCTTGGAAGTAAATAGTCTTGAACTTAACTCTTGAACGTTGTTCGAGTCCAGTTAGACAGTTAAAAGACTTTATCTATCACAGCTTGGAGGTAAATATTCTCATCCAAATATTTCAATATTTTTTTGTCCAAATATAAAAACCTTATATGAGAATTTTACTTAAGTGATTTTACGTTTTTCGAGCATGTAGCAAATCTTTTTCATCCTTAAAAACATCCCCAGTCCTCTTAAACACTCAATAACTTCAATCTTTTATCTATAACTTAAAACTAACTACCGTACCATATATGAGTACAAGGACCCTACTATTACGGTGCTTCACTTCCCCAAACACATTGATTGATGGTGAATATCAGAACGGCTGGCAAATCTAGTTTGTGCCACTGCTCAATGTCGGGTGACACTGCTATTTTTGTTACCATCGGACTCTCTTAAGTAGTTTTGAATTCTGTATTCAAGTTTATTTAGTTATTTCACAGCAGAAGAGAATATTGCTAAGTAATAAATATAAAATTTTTTTATTTTTCCAACATCTTGCATCGTTTAAGATTTGTGCCATGTTTACGGTTGTTTTCACGACTGTCTCTCGTTTCGTTAGTTTAGTAATTTACAGTTAATGTTTCATTTTTCTATATAAGTAAGTTCAAACAATACTAAAACTTGTGTTATGACTTGATGTGGATACAAGCTTAATGTTAAGACAAGCTTGATACTTTGGGTGATAAAATAATTGTAATCTTATTTTTTGGTACTTTTTTGTTTATTTGAAACTAAATTACAGCTGGAAATATTTAAATTGAGTCGTAAAATCAAAATAGTACGTAAAGTATGTAATATGTAAAGTAATTCAAGAACAAACATTCAATTTCACGTGATCAGTATTACAACTTAAAAATATATAATATGTTTTGTATTTGCGATTGATAGATTTAAGCTTCACAATTAAAATGCCAAACTGTTTTGGTTACCATTAAATGGATTCAGAAAATTGTTTATGAAAAATGTACTTGTAAAATTTAAAAAAATTTGATCCCATAGTTGCTAGTCTTGTCTTTTATAATAAGGAGTGTATTTTTCTATTTTTCTATGGCCTACTGTTTATAGGTGAATCACTGGTAATTCAAAGTGAGTTTCAAAAGTAAGCCTGGAGACCACCAGTAAAATATTCTTGTTTAGAGAGTTTGGCTCCTTTTTATAAATTTATATATAACCACATTGTATTAGATAGTGTAAGAAAGTTGTAAAAATTGTTTAAAGTTTCTAAAAACAATATATTTCAGTGGTGATAAACATCACATTTATATACTTGAGTGTATTTTTAATATCCCCACTTAAGAGAACAGTTCTCTCCCTATACCTGGGATAAACAAAATCAAATAAGTTAGTTAAATAGTAACTTCTTGAATTATTTATACACAACTTGATAATTTGCATTAATGTTGTCAATTATTTGAGTTTTGTTTACACATTTTTTTTAATGTTATTGGTATGAAAATTATAACAGACTCTCTTATAGTAGCTGTGATGTCAACATTTTTGTAGTAAATGTTGACATCATAGCTACTTTAAATTCTCAAGCTGCATAACACTAAAATTCAATTAACAGTTCATCGCTCATATTTTCTTCAGTGTCATATGGAATTCTTGTTAGGGGAAATTCGTGCAACAGGAAAAAAGATGTTAGGGCTTTAAAAGAAAGCAATCAGAATCATAGTATAAAAGTACACACAAGGTCATGTAAAACAATCCTCCAGGAATTTCAAGTTTTTTTTTATGAGTATATTTTAAAGACAGTACCTATTTTAAATTGCCCATTTTCAGGGAGAGACACACATCATGTATCCAACACTAGGCATAAGAACTGGTTGCCTACCGATAGATAACGATACAAAGAATGAACTGATATACAAATTAAAAAAAAATACAAATCAACAACACATTTGATGAAAAGGTAAAGGACGCATGGTCAATAGGACATAGTCATTAGGTTGATTTGACAGTAACAAAATATTTTTTTTTTACCTTACAATATCCTTGTTTGGTGTTGGTAGGCAACTACATGTTTCGTGGCAAGTGCCACATCATCATGTTAACCTCTTCTCAGGTTCGTCATAAACTTAAAATACAAAACACTGAACACACGTAAAAAGATTTATTAGGTATTTAATTGATTATTTTATTAATATAAAGCAATATCAAGAAGTAGGATGATGAATTCTGATTTGATAGTGAGTGAATGACAGATCAAATTGTTAAAGCTTGTAGGAAATGTATCTAGAATTTTAATATTCATACCTTTGTAAATGAAAGCAAAAAACAATATTAACAAACAATTCAGTAAAATATTTTGTCTGGTCTAGTGGTAGATAAAGTGTTCTACGGGGTTCCCTATTTGGATATCTAAATATATAAAAGGCAAAGCCCTCACTGACTGTCTCACTCACTCACTCATCACTAATTCTCCCACTTCCCATTTACCTAGGAGGCTGAAATTCTGTACACCGATTCTTTGGGCATTAAATAGGAAAACTAAGTAGTTTTTATTCTGATCGGGCTTTCGGGCTCCGCCCCAGTGGCTCTGGAGTTTCCCATATTAACCTTATGATTTTTCATATTTAAAAGGAATGAATGAATCTATCAGCTGTTTCAATTAAACAAGTTGATTCTGTTCTATGATGTTCAATAGCATTAAAGTTACAAGGATTACCAACAGGGTGCAGCATTAATATTTTTTTAAATTTATGACTGCAGCCAATTTGCAACCAAAAGGTGAGTGAGCGTAGCGAACGAACTTCGACCTGGAAGCGAGTTAGCGTAGCGAACGAGCTAACCTGAAGGCAAGTGAGCGGAGCGAACGAGCTCCAATCTAAAGGTGGTGAACTTCAACCAGGACGTGATTGAACCACGCAAACAAGCTCACTTGTGAAGTTAAACAGGGCAAAGCCCGCGGGTACAGCTAGTTTATTATATTTGTTCATACAAAGAAAATTCAATATCCCACTGATTCTCATTCAAAATTTGAAACTGGACCTCTGTACCATGGAATTAAAAATCAATAATGATTTACTTCATCCTTACAGAACATAATCAAAATAAATTTACATCCAAACTAAAAGAGGCATAGAGCCAAACAGCTTATTATGAAAACCATACTTTTTAAAGTTAAAGTTCCTGTCACAAGCTGTAGAAATAGTATTTAGAAATCTTTGTTCTAGAAAGAAGAAAAAAAAGATGTAAACTTTTTCCTTGTTAGCCTTCTTATGCATCAGTTGGACCTTGCTGACAGGTTTTTTTTTTAACTTAGTGAGGCCAAGCTGTTGAAATTTCTATAATAAATATATTTGAAATGTACTTGAATTAAAGACAAATGTTTAAGGCTTTACACACGAGAACTTGGTAAGGGCACTTGGGAACCTGCTGGTATGTATGTTTGTACCTGACAAGCTTGGGAATTACTTTTGTAATAATTCTGTGTCAGATATTGGGAATCACTTTTGTAATTACTGAGTCGGGTGTTTGTGTGGAACAAATAATTGTCTAATGTCAGAGTTGAAACAGGATCCAGTAACTATGGTGCTCATTCATTTATCTGATAATGATCTTCACACTATGGACATTGGCTCAAAACTGAACAGGAATAGTCATATGTAGACCAAGTATGCACAAAATTAGCAAAAGTGATACTGCCTTCTATGGAAGTTGAAGGCTGAAGCTACTTTATTGACACACTTGAATACCTGTTGGTCATCTAAACTACCCTATTCCATCGCCACATAACATACAAAATCTTCTTACGGGGATATAATTTCAAATTTTAAGAATCTTATATGCCGGAGAAAGCTGTGAGAATGATGACTCAACAAGTCAACAACGATCATATTGTCGTACACTTTTGGCATTCAAACCCTCTTTGGCAATTTCTTCTCAGCTACATTCTCCACTTGCCCATTGAAAATTTTTCAATAGATTTTCGGGTGAAGTGTGTAATTAACAATTGAAAACAAGACTTTTCAGCCTGGATTTTGAAGAAAAGTTTTGGCTCTCTAAAGAATTCTTTGAG